GGGTAACAGTTTGTTATTACAGATGCTTTGGCAAGTAAGGTACTCATGAAAGTGTGATTCACACAAGTGCATGCTTACTTAATCATGTTTCTGCACTGATATCATCATCATCATCATCATTGAGATGAGCCTTTATTCTCACCACTCTAATGAGTAGCTGTACTTTCAAAGAGGCTCTTTGCTTTAAGTGTCTGTTGTGGATGCAAGTTCACTCCAAATCACAAGTGGAGCTTGTTGCGGGCTGGTGAAGGCATTGCATGATAAATGCCCACAACAAACATGGCAGACTCAGCATATGAGTCCATGTAAAAAAAAAAAGTAAAAAAAACAACAAGAACCAATATATATGAAAAAACAAATGATAATGTATTAACAACAAAAGGTTACAAGTGACAAAGACAATAATGTGTGCCACAAATGACTGTAGAAACATTTTGGTCCAAAGTATATGAATGTACATACGAGAGAGTGTGTGTGTGTATTGCTCATGAGTTTCCAATAAGGGAACACATTTTCCTGTAAGAGACTTACATGTTGACAGTTAAGATCAGAAGAGAGTGATAAAATATTATAGCAGAAATTTTTATAGCGCAGGAGAGCGCCCCCTAGTAACGCTTTTGAAAATTAAGTGGAAGTAACCCAACAAACTCATATATTATCCACTGCTAAAGAAGCTGGAGACATTGTCAGCTCCTTATACTGACACCTTCTGTCATGTCATATCTTTACAGGAGTTGGATCAAATCGAAAATGGAGTTGTAGTGCCATATATGGACTGAGCTGCCTAATCCTCACTTTTCAACCTTGACCGAGTTCAAAAGAATTTACATGGCCTTTTAGTTGATGAATTGTTTTCCAGAGTTCAATTCCTTTCCCACAGATGTAATACCATAAGCCTATTACTACCCTGTTACTATTTCCATAGAAAATGTTCTGACAGACTACATTCCTTAGTTGCACCAGTTCAGGCCTTTACAGCTAAGACCTGCTCTTTATGAACAGGGACAGACCATTCTTTTTCTCTTAGGAAGAAGAAATTTCAATTCACTCTTCCAAAGAGCACAGTTTTGTGGAACAGACTCTCAAGAGGATTTTCTGATAATTACAATTTTAATTCTTCTAAATCTTAGGTCAACTGTTATCTGTCCTACATATCCTGATGATCTCCAATTCTTATATCCATACACCAACCCCATTCAGTAAGACTGTACCTGGAGTGGCTCGTGAGCCTTGAATATGGTAAATAATAGTGTAAAAGAATATCCATTATACTAACCACACATCCTTCATGTGTTTTGTTTTAAACAGGAAAAAAATCTGAGTCCAAATGAAATTTCACTTATGTTCAACCAATTCGTTCTGTGAGGTTTCTATAACCAATCCTGTTCTTATAAATAATCAAATAAGCCAGGAATGCACGACATAAATTCTTTTCTTTTCTTTTTTTCAGTGGTCAACAAAGTGGTAAAAAGGCAGGCCAGCAGTTATCTCTTAGACCAAGTGGACTCCAAAGCTGTTGTCCGAGGCTGGCTTACAAAAGTAAGTGCAAGTAATGATTTGTGCGCAATTTCTGTCTTATATGAAATGCAACAATCTTAGTATTAAAAAGTATGCATATAGTTTATTTATAAATAATATAATTATAGTTTATTATCTTCATTTTTTTGCAACTTTACAATTTAAGGACCAAAAACGTTATGCAGTGTCCCCTTTTTGAAATTCACAACTTATAATTATTTGTGCTTAAGTTTTGGCAGTGAGTGCCGAGGTTTTAAATATCTTCAAATAGGAAATCAAAATACATTTTGAATATATCGGTGGATAGTAACTGTACTTGTGTACAATGTGCTTCTTTGAATGTCTTCTTAAATATTTTTCCCATTTTAATGTTAAAAACTTTCCCATTTTAATGTTTATTAAACACTGCCATTTTAATGTTTCTTAAACACTTTGCCATTTTAATGTTTCTTAAACACTTTGCCATTTTAATGTTTCTTAAACACTTTGCCATTTTAATGTTTCTTAAATACTTTCCCATTTTAATATTTCTTAAATACTTTCCCAATTTAATGTTTCTTAAACACTTTCCCATTTTAATGTTTCTTAAGAACTTTCCCAATTTAACGTTTCTTAAGAAATTTCCCAATTTAATGTTTCTTAAAAACTTTCCCATTTTAACGTTTAAGAACTTTCCCAATTTAACGTTTCTTAAGAACTTTCCCAATTTAACGTTTCTTAAGAACTTTCCCAATTTAATGTTTCTTAAAAACTTTCCCATTTTAATGTTTATCCAGCACAGTACTAGACTGTCAACAAAGTCTCACCAATATACATTTAAATTGGCTAAATGTAGCCATAGCTTCTAAGCTAACAGTTTCTTTTCTTGTACTTCTCGCTTGTGGGATTATCTTCTGGCTTTATGCATTCCAGCCAACTTTAATCTGTAAAAATTTAAATGCAATGTCAATTGCCATCTACTGTCCTCCTGATAACTCTTTGTTTTTGCTCTTTAGTAAAGTTTCTGTTTTGTAATTCTTCCACAACACCTTGTGTCTTAGTGGCTTTAATGCCTTGCTTGGGGTGAACTTGATTAAAAAAAATAGTAAGGTATTAAGGAATTGAGAAATAACATTAGACATGTGGAAAGGAATTCTGACTATAATGTAATATCTCACCTCCTATATGGTTGTAAATGCTGGACAATTTCCTCACAAATGAAGAAGAGATTTGAAATGACTGAAATATGATAAGAATAACCTGAACAGATTGGAAAGTTTTAAAGAGAATAGGAACTTCATAGAAAGCATTTCTGATAATCACAGTGAAAGCAGAAGACTTGGCAAGCTGGACACTCATAGGGATAACTCAAAGTCAAGAGAAGCAGAGGAAAAAAGTGAATTACCAATATGATGTTTGCACAAATAGTGGGACAGTGTAGCAGAAAGACAAAGAGAGATCATAAAAGGATTACTGGGATCCAAAAAATTACAAGAAAGCTGTGGAGAGCCGTGATCACTTATTGGGTATAACAATAAACTACATCCACATCCTGGGTAAGATGATAAACTACGTCCAACAGCAAGGCCTCTGATCAGGAGGTTTTGAGGAGTGTGGAACCTCCTCTTAATTGCTGGTGTTCCCATGTCCACTCTGACCCAGGATGGTAGCACCTGTTAGGGTCCCAGCAATGGGCAAATAGTTAGCCCTGAAACTGGGGTAAAAACACTATGAAAGTGTAAAAATAGGTTTTAATACCAGAAATACTTTGTAAAAACTTATTATCAGCAATAAATTTTTGAAGAAAAAAAAACATTACCAGCTATACACTTTTGAAAAAAAAATATTATCAATAATACACTTTTGAAAAAAAAAATATTACCAGCAATACATTTTTGGACAAAAATATTACCAGCTATACATTTTTGAGGAAAAAATTATTACCAGAAATAGATTTTTGAAAGAAAAAATTACTACCAGAAATAGATTTTTGACAAACCAAAATATTACCAGAAATAGGAATTTTGTCAGCATTAGGTAGCCCAATGAGGTTAATATGCCATAAACCAAACCAAACTGTGATCACTTATGTTCTAAATGGGTAAAGCATATTGAAAGAGTCAGTGAAATGCTTAAGATGTTTTAGCAAATTGATGAGGAACTGTAGAAAAATAAGGCAAGCGTGTGTTGAGGATTTTGGGGAAACAGATTGTTCTCTTAACAATTAAGGGGGAGGAGGCAAAGAAGGGAAAGAGATGGGAAGAAATAAAAAACTAAATAATGATCAGTAAGGTCACTGCCACAAAAACCACGGCAGAAAATAAAATGCACCAAGAGAATGTCTTTACAAGACACTGAATCTACAATGTTAGCAAAGCGGGTCCTATCAAAAGCAGATTATTGACTGCTGGTTTCTTTGTCTTTTTTATTGACATGAAACAGTTGACAAAAACCTAGATTTGGACAACTTGCAGAAAGGCTCATGTCTGGATATGCCAAGCTTTTCTGCTGCTAATGGAGAAACCTGCATATGACATTCTTTGATAGATATGTCCGCACACATTTCAATGGCCTCTTTTATGTTTCTACTGATATGTGCTTGCCACAGAAACAAATGTGATCACCCATTGATATGGCACATTGAAAGAGGGAGTAAACTACTTGACATGTTTGAGCCAACGGATAGAAAAATGTCACAAAGAGAAAGACAGGTCATAAAAGAGAAAGTATTACTTGGAGCAACAAAAGAAAGGAAGCTGTGGAGGGTTATGATCACTCATGGATATGGTACATTGAAAGAAGGAGTAAACTATTTAACATGTTTGAGCCAATTGATAGAGAAACAAATGTCACAAAGAGAAAGACAGGTCATAACAGAGAAAGTATTAATTGAAGCAACAAACGAAAGGAAGCTGTGGAGGGTTATGATCGCCTATGGATATGGTACATTGAAAGAGGGAGTAATCTAGACATTTTTCAGCCAATGGAGGGCATAAAAGAGAAAGTAGAAATGAAGCTGTGGAGAGTTCTAATCGCTCATGGATATGTCATACTAAACAAAACATTTGACATGTTTGAGCAAATAGGTGGAGAAGCAAGTGTGACAAAGAGAAAGAGATGGGTCATAAGCAGAAAGTATAGCTTCACGCAATGAAAGACAGGAAGCTGTGGAGATCCATGATTGATTAGACATTGGATGCCAGATTTGATTGTTACATGTACAATTATTTAATCACATGGTATTAATTTCAACATCAAGTTCATTTTGAAATGTGTATCATCTCTTGTGACAAATCGAGATGTTGTTTTCATAATCTCAGACTGCTTTCTGAGACAATTATTTTTTTAGAAAGATCACCTTTAATCTGTTTGTTTGTCATCATCACCATTTTGCTAAAGTGACAGAATTAAAGTGTACGTTGTTATTAGGGAAAGAGAATAATGCAACCACTTAAACAAATTCAGGTTACCTTGAAAGTCGTAAATTTAATTTCATTAACAGATTTATGTGTTGAAAGTTAATTAAAAAAATATTGTTAGAAATTGTATAAACATCAATCAACTTAAAAGGAAAATTGTTGAAGCCATGACATTCAAATATTTTTATGTCTGTGATTAGGAATTATCATGATTATATTTTCCTTCTAGAAAATCTAAGAACACTGTGAAAATGATAGATTTCTTGTTGAAGAAGGCATTTCCTGTTTAGAATATTATAATGGACATGTAAATGAATTCTAGGTATGTTACCAAAGTGCTTTTTCTCCATGAAAGACGTTAACCAAATTAACTTTTGTAATTAAATCTCATTTCTCAGTGTTCAGAATCTATAAAAACACGTGTGACTTTGGTGCTTTAATTCTAACACTGAAGAGTTCCCTAAAAGATTATCGGAAAATGTTGAAAGCAAGGCAATAAAGCCACTAAGATGCAAGGTGCTACATAGTATGAAAGAATATATAGAGAGAACAATAAAAGAACAGAAATTAAGAAGACAGAAGATAAAGGTTGACATTGCATTTGCATTTTTGAAGATCAAAGTTGACTGGAAAGAAAGAAGCTGGAAGAGAGTTCCACAATTGAGGACTGATTACTGCAGATTTTTTTTTTTTTTTAATTTTGGAATCTCTAAATACATAGCAGGAGCACCAGACATTCTGACAGCAATATTTAATTCATGAATAGTTAGAAAAATTGTCTAGCACAAAACAGTAAACATATTTTCCTAGCTGCAGACTTAACAATAGATTCAATATAATTTTTCCATTTCATTTCCAACAAAAAACATTATCACAAGAAGGTGGAATGAGTTAGGTTCCTGGAGCTTAGTCTCAGCGAAAATGGTACTCTAAGATGATTAAAAGAGAATGTAGTTGGTCACTATGTTATCTAGCTATTTAAGTAAGAACTCTGACAGCACTGTTGTTGAAACAGATGCTAGAATACTTCTTGAGCTTAAATCTACCAACAAATAGATTAGAAAAAGTTAATCTTTCAAAAAGAAAATGTGCATTGCCATTCTGCAAAGACAATTGTTTTCTAACTCTGTGATTGTATTTCGTCTGTTATAATATGTCCAGATTTGTTCCCAGACCTCATTCCATCAGAAAATATTTTGGGAATGACATTTGTATACTGATTTTATAATTAAAAGTCATTAGTTTTTCTATGCTTTTATAAAATAAAAAAAAAAATAAAATAAAAGTAAGAATAAAATGAAAATTTACAACCATACAAAAAAAAAAAAAAATAAAAAAATATTTGGACTTTAATTTTTAAAGAAATTCCATGAAATTTAAAAAAAAATTAATTTTTATAATTTTTTGGCTGAGCCTCTGAGCTCGGGAACCCCACATTAAATTTGGCCTTGTGCTACATATGACTGCGTGGGGCAGTTGATAGATACCATCCAGCTGGGATCTGTTGAGTATGACTCAGACTTACGCAAGAACTACCAACCTTCCAATAGTAGCATTCACTACTGGATTGACTTGTGACGACCTTTACTCTTATTGTACTGTTTTTTTACAATAAACCTTTACTTATTTTATCCACCTTGTTTTTCAAGTATATATTCCTATTAGCAAGGAATATAACATTATTTAATGCTGAAATCTAAATATTTTGAATATAATTGCATCAATTCAACTACAGATAAAATGTATTGTTGGTCATTTCGCTATTAATTTTTTTTGCTGGTATTTTTTACTAAAATATACTTCTATAGTTTTTTCGTTTTGTTTGTAGGGTTCACTCTTTGCCCATAGCTGGGACACTAAAAGGTGCTACCACCCTCGGTCAGGGTAGACATGGGGAGCAACAGCAATTAAGAGCGGGTTCCATGCTCCTCAAAACCTCTAATCTCCTGATTGGAATTCTTGCTGCTGGGTGTAGTATAAAAGAATTGAAAGGAAGAAAATAAAAAAAAAGCAATGAAAAAAATTGAGCATTTTAAATGGACAAAGCAAAGAAGCCTTTCAGAATAAAAAAAAATTCTGAATGGAATGGCACTCATTTTAAGTATTAAACAAAGAAATCTAAGGAAATGATTGTTGATGAGAAAAGGAGAGAAATCTTGAATGCTATTTCCATGTGAAAGCGTCAGGACTCTATTTTATGTTGCATTTATTTTGCCTAACAAATGAACCTGTCGTGTCTCAGAGGCAGAAAGACAGGCAGCCAGGTTGATGTGCAGATGGACGGACTGTCCTCGTTAGCTATAGTTAATTATCAAGACATTCCGGCTGTATTAATCAGTATTATTTAATTACAGGGGCAAGAGATCTGGGGTGTTTAGCAGTTGAGGGAAAGAGTTGGAAAATATGCTGCCTGAATTCTATGCATGTGTTTCTTTAGTTTTATTTGTCTATTGTTCATTTTTCTTTATTTTTCACTTTCTTTTATTAATAATTTCTCTCCCTTCCTTTTACCGTTCTCTTACCAAGTTCTCTCTTTTCTCTCCTTGCCCAGTTCTCTCTTTTCTTTTCTTGCCCAGTCCTCTCTTTTCTCTCCTTGCCCACTTCCCCCTTTTCTTTTCTTGCCCAGTTCTCTCTTTTCTCTCCTTGCCCAGTTCTCTCTTTTCTTTTCTTGCCCAGTTCTCTCTTTTCTCTCCTTGCCCAGTTCTCTCTTTTTTTTCAAGCCCACTTCTCCATTTTCTTTTCTTGCCCAGTTCTCTCTTTTCCCTACTTGCACAGTTCTCTCTTTTCCCTACTTGCCCAGTTCTCTCTTTTCCCTACTTGCCCAGTTCTCTCTTTTCCCTACTTGCCCAGTTCTCTCTTTTCCCTACTTGCCCAGTTCTCTCTTTTCCCTACTTGCCCACTCTCTTTTCCCTACCCAGTTCTCTCTTTTTCCCTACTTGCCCAGTTCTCTCTTTTCCCCTCCTTGCCCAGTTCTCCCTTTTCTCTTTCTTGCCCATTTCTTTTCCCCATTTTCCCCTTTTCTTTTCCCAGTCCTCTCTTTTCTCTTCTTGCCCACTTCTCCCTTTTTTTTTCTTGCCCAGTTCTCTCTTTTCTCTCCTTGCCCAGTTCTCTCTTTTCTCTCCTTGCCCAGTTCTCTCTTTTCTCTCCTTGCACAGTTCTCTCTTTTCTCTCCTTGCACAGTTCTCTCTTTTCTCTCCTTGCCCAGTTCTCTCTTTTCTTTTCTTGCCCAGTCCTCTCTTTTCTCTCCTTGCCCACTTCTCCCTTTTCTTTTCTTGCCCAGTTCTCCCTTTTATTTTCTTGCCCAGTTCTCTCTTTTCTCTCCTTGCCCAGTTCTCTCTTTTCTTTTCTTGCCCAGTTCTTTCTTTTCTCTCCTTGCCCAGTTCTCTCTTTTCTCTCCTTGCCCAGTTCTCTCTTTTCTCTCCTTGCCCAGTTCTCTCTTTTCTTTTCTTGCCCAGTTCTCTATTTTCTTTTCTTGCCCAGTTCTCTCTTTTCTCCTTGCTCTCTTTTTCTCTCCTTGCCCAGTTCTCTCTTTTCTCTCCTTGCCCAGTCCTCTCTTTTCTCTCCTTGCCCAGTCCTCTCTTTTCTCTCCTTGCCCAGTTCTCTCTTTTCTCTCCTTGCCCAGTTCTCCCTTTTCTCTCCTTGCCCAGTTGTCCCTTTTCTCTCCTTGCCCAGTTGTCCCTTTCCTCTCCTTGCCCAGTTCTCTCTTTCCTCTCCTTGCCCAGTTCTCTCTTTCCTCTCCTTGCCCAGTTCACTCTTTTCTTTTCTTGCCCAGTTCTCTCTTTTCTCTCCTTGCCCAGTTCTCTCTTTTCTTTTCTTGCCCAGTTCTCTCTTTTCTCTCCTTGCCCAGTTCTCTCTTTTTTTTCTTGCCCACTTCTCCATTTTCTTTTCTTGCCCAGTTCTCTCTTTTCCCTACTTGCACAGTTCTCTCTTTTCCCTACTTGCCCAGTTCTCTCTTTTCCCTACTTGCCCAGTTCTCTCTTTTCCCTACTTGCCCAGTTGTCTCTTTTTTTACTTGCCAAGTTCTCTCTTTTTCCCCTACTTGCCCAGTCCTCTCTTTTCTCTCCTTGCCCAGTTCTCCCTTTTCTTTTCTTGCCCAGTTCTCTCTTTTTCTCTCCTTGCCCAGTCCTCTCTTTTCTCTCCTTGAACAGTCCTCTCTTTTTTCTCTCCTTGCCCAGTTCTCTCTTTTCTTTTTCTTGCCCAGTTCTTTTCTTTTCTCTCCTTGCCCAGTTCTCTCTTTTTTTTTCTGCCCAGTTCTCTCTTTTCTCTCCTTGCCCAGTTCTCTCTTTTCTCTCCTTGCCCAGTTCTCTCTTTTCTCTCCTTGCCTAGTTCTCTTTTTCTTTTCTTGCCCAGTTCTTTCTTTTCTCTCCTTGCCCAGTTCTCTCTTTTCTCTCCTTGCCCAGTTCTCCTTTTCTCTTGCCCTTCTCTCTTTTCTCCCTTGCCCAGTTCTCTCTTTTCTCTCCTTGCCCAGTTCTCTTTTTTCTCTCCTTGCCCAGTTCTCTCTTTTCTCTCCTTGCCCAGTTCTCTCTTTTCTTTTCTTGCCCAGTTCTCTCTTTTCTTTTCTTGCCCAGTTCTCTCTTTTTTTTCTTGCCCAGTTCTCTCTTTTCTCTCCTTGCCCAGTTCTCTCTTTTTTTCTTTCTTGCCCAGTTCTTTCTTTTTCTCTCCTTGCCCAGTTCTTTCTTTTCTCTCCTTTCTTGCTCTCTTTTCTTTTCTTGCCCAGTTCTCCTTTCTTTTCTTGCCCAGTTCTCTCTTTTCTCTCCTTGCCCAGTTCTCTCTTTTCTCTCCTTGCCCAGTTCTCCCTTTTCTTTTCTTGCCCAGTTCTCTCTTTTCTCTCCTTGCCCAGTTCTCTCTTTTCACTCCTTGCCCAGTTGTCCCTTTTCTCTCCTTGCCCAGTTGTCCCTTTTCTCTCCTTGCCCAGTTCTCTCTTTTCTCTCCTTGCCCAGTTCTCTCTTTTCTCTCCTTGCCCAGTTCTCTCTTTTCTTTTCTTGCCCAGTTCACTCTTTTCTTTTCTTGCCCAGTTCTCTCTTTTCTTTTCTTGCCCAGTTCTCTCTTTTCTCTCCTTGCCCAGTCCTCTCTTTTCGCTCCTTGCCCACTTCTGCCTTTTCTCTCCTTGCCCAGTTCTCTCTTTTCTTTTCTTGCCCAGTTCTCTCTTTTCTTTTCTTGCCCAGTTCTCTCTTTTCTCTCCTTGCCCAGTTCTCTCTTTTCTCTCCTTGCCCAGTTCTCTCTTTTCTCTCCTTGCCCAGTTCTCTCTTTTCTTTTCTTGCCCAGTTCTTCCTTTTCTCTCCTTGCCCAGTCCTCTCTTTTCTCTCCTTGCCCACTTCTCCCTTTTCTTTTCTTGCCCAGTTCTCTCTTTTCTTTTCTTGCCCAGTTCTCCCTTTTCTTTTCTTGCCCAGTTCTCCCTTTTCTTTTCTTGCCCAGTTCTCTCTTTTCTCTCCTTGCCCAGTTCTCTCTTTTCTCTCCTTTGCCCAGTTCTCCTTTTTCTTTTCTTTCTTGCCCAGTCCTCTTTTTTCTCTCCTTGCCCACTTCTCCCTTTTCTTTTCTTGCCCAGTTCTCTCTCTTTTCTCTCCTTGCCCACTTCTCCCTTTTCTTTTCTTGCCCAGTTCTCTTTTTCTTTTCTTGCCCAGTTCTCTCTTTTCTCTCCTTGCCCAGTTCTCTCTTTTCTTTTTTCTTGCCCAGTTCTTTCTTTTCTCTCTTTTCTCTCTTTTTTTTTGCCCAGTTCTTTCTTTCTCCCCTTGCCCACTTCTCCTTTTTTCTTTTTTCTTGCCCAGTTCTCTCTTTTCTCTCCTTGCCCACTTCTCTCTTTTCTCTCCTTTGCCCAGTTCTCTCTTTTCTTTTCTTGCCCAGTTCTCTTCTTTTCTCTCCTTGCCCAGTCCTCTCTTTTCTCTTCTTGCCAGTTCTCTTTTTCTTTTCTTGCCCAGTTCTTTCTTTTCTCTCCTTGCCCAGTTCTCTCTTTTTTTTTCTCCTTGCTCAGTTCTTTCTTTTCTCTCCTTGCCCAGTTCTCTCTTTTTCTTTTCTTGCCCAGTTCTCTCTTTTCTCTCCTTGCCCAGTTCTCCTTTTCTTTTTCTTTTTCTTTTTCTCTCCTTGCCCACTTCTCTCTTTTCTCTCCTTGCCCAGTTTTCTCTTTTTCTCTCCTTGCCCAGTTCTCTCTTTTCTTTCCTTGCCCAGTTCTCTCTTTTCTTTTCTTGCCCAGTTTTCTTTTTTCTTTTGCCCAGTTCTCTTTTTCTCTCCTTGCCTAGTTCTCTCTTTTCTCCCTTGCCCATTTTCTCCCTTTTCTCTTTTCTTGCCCAGTTCTCTCTTTTTCTTTTCTTGCCCAGTTCTCTCTTTTCTCTCCTTGCCCAGTTCTCTCTTTTCTCTCCTTGCCCAGTTCTCTCTTTTCTCTCCTTGCCCAGTTCTTTCTTTTCTCTCCTTGCCCAGTTCTCTCTTTTCTTTTCTTGCCCAGTTCTTTTCTTTCTTGCCCACTTCTCCCTTTTCTTTTCTTGCTTTTCTTTTCTTGCCCAGTTCTCTCTTTTCTCTCCTTGCCCAGTTCTTCTCCTTTCTCTTTTCTCCTTGCCCAGTTCTCTCTTTTCTCCTTGCCCAGTTCTTTTTCTCTCCTTGCCCAGTTCTCTCTTTTCTCTCCTTGCCCAGTTCTTTTTTCTCTCCTTGCTTTTTCTTTTCTCTCCTTGCCCAGTTCTTTCTTTTCTCTCCTTGCCCAGTCCTCTTTTTCTCCTTGCCCAGTTCTCTCTTTTCTTTTTCTTGCCCAGTTCTCTCTTTCTCTCCTTGCCCAGTCCTCTCTTTTTCTCTCCTTGCCCAGTTCTCCTTTTCTTTTCTTGCCCAGTTCTCTCTTTTCTCTCCTTGCCCAGTTCTTTTTTTCTCTCCTTGCCCAGTTCTCTCTTTTCTCCTTGCCCAGTTCTCTTTTCTCTTTTCTTGCCCAGTTCTCTCTTTTCTCTCCTTGCCCAGTTCTCTCTTTTCTCTTCTTGCCCAGTTCTCTTTGCCCAAGTTTTCTTTTTTCTCTCCTTGCCCAGTTCTCTCTTTTCTCTTCTTTTTCTTCTCTTTCTCTCCTCTTTCTCTTTTCTTTTCTTGCCCAGTTCTCTCTTTTCTCTCCTTGCCCAGTTCTCTTTTTCTCTCCTTGCCTTCTCTCTTTTCTCTCCTTGCCCACTTCTCCCTTTTCTTTTCTTGCCCAGTTCTCTCTTTTCTTTTCTTGCCCAGTTCTCTCTTTTCTCTCCTTGCCCAGTTCTCTCTTTTCTCTCCTTGCCCAGTCCTCTCTTTTCTCTCCTTGCACAGTCCTCTCTTTTCTCTCCTTGCCCAGTTCTCTCTTTTCTTTTCTTGCCCAGTTCTTTCTTTTCTCTCCTTGCCCAGTTCTCTCTTTTCTTTTCTTGCCCAGTTCTCTCTTTTCTCTCCTTGCCCAGTTCTCTCTTTTCTCTCCTTGCCCAGTTCTCTCTTTTCTCTCCTTGCCCAGTTCTCTCTTTTCTTTTCTTGCCCAGTTCTTTCTTTTCTCTCCTTGCCCAGTTCTCTCTTTTCTTTTCTTGCCCACTTCTCTCTATTCTTTTTTTGACCAGATCACTCTTTTCCTTTCCTGCCCAGTTTCTCTCTCTCTCACTTTCTTACTGAATTCTTTTGCTCTCCTTCTTGTTGCCTTTTTCTTTCTTACTTTATTGTTCAACTCTCTTTTTTTTGTTACATTTTCAATAACTTTAAAATTTCTTTGTTTAAATCCCATTTTACTTTACAGCATAGGTGATAATTCTTCATTTTCTATGTGCTGTATTCCTTCAGGAGGTGGGTGATCATTGCTCTCCACAGCTTCATATCCTTTGTAGTGTAGGAAATTTTCTTTTGCTTTAATGTCTATGAACAGTGAATTTTTCCTTTAATTTTTATTTTATACAGGAAGGTAACATGAATAATTTTTGATACAATGAGTGATTTTATATATATATATATATATATATATATATATATATATAAAGATGTCTAGCCATACTGAGGACTGTTTTGCTGTATCACAGATCCTCAGTATAGCTAAATTTTTCTTTTATATATATATATATATATATATATATATATATATATGATAATAATGTAGACATCTTTATTTATTTATATATATATATATATATATATATATAAATATGTCTATATACTGAGGAGATGTGATACAGCAAAACAGTCTCTCTGTGGATGACATATATATTTGTGTGTGTATGTCTTATTATATCATAGCGTTTCATATTTTGACCACTGATGGCACAGATTTTCTTTGTTGTGTATTGCTGATCAGTCCTTTCCTTTCTTGACCAGAAAGATTTATGATGTCTCTCATCACAGATGATCAAATGAGGCTAAATTCTGTTAGTAATCTTCTGTAGTCAAGGTAGAAGGACAGAAAAAGATCACTCCCGTTCCCAAGTCCGAATTCTTCTGAGCCCCTAACTTTCCCCACCCATCTTTGCTTACATTGCTTGTAATAGATCAGTTTGTAATGACTGTGAGCAGGTGACATAGCCTTGGTCTTCACTTCTGTAACTGACAACTGTCCATGTCGGTTGGTCAAGCAAAGTGGTTGTATGTTGATGTTATTCAAGATTTAATGGCCATTGGTCATTATTTCGTGATGTGAACATGACGCAGCCTGAAAATGAACAGTCAAAGTGGGGGTTGGGACGGATAAGTCAGCAGTTAAAATGATCCGAATAGACATTGGTTAAAGTCAGTGTTCTCTTTCATATGCAACAAGAAATTTGTTATTTACAATCAAACTAACATTCTTATCTTTGTTATTATTACCACAGTTTTTCTTAAAGCCGGAATTCTTTTCTTGCCAATGCTTCCAATTTTTTTTTTTGTGTTTTCTGATCTCTGTCCAACTTTTTTAACAATTGTATAAACAATGTTTTACACATTGTGTAAATTAATTGAAACAAAATGTATAATTCTATTATTATTTACTTTTTTTGTATTTTCCAAATGAAACATGACCCAATGCACATGTTAGTACTTCATATGTCCATTCCACAAAGTCATTCCTTGCAGAATGTCTGCAAATTCTTGATTGGATTTAAATCAGGAAAGTTTCCAGGCCAATCTATAGTACTTTGATTAGCACACTTGTAAGGCTTGCCAGTGTGTTCATGCAGTGTTATAATTTATGTATCCTTCCTTGGAGAAATGTCCAATGCAGACAATAGCTGTAGAACAACTAATTGACAGTTGAGACAATAGTGTCCTGATACATTCACAGCTGACACAATATTTTTCAAGGTCAAACAAATTTTATCATATGCCCAAAAATAGATTCATAATTACAGCACACCACTGCAAATGACCTAATCTGAGGCAAAAATAGAAGTCACCTACACCCTGGCACTCAAGTGGGTTTAAAACTGGCCATATGGTAAAAGAAAGGAAACTAAAGTGGGTGTTTCAATTTATTTGCACAAGGGTGTACTTTAAACTGGAATTTTTAAAATCTTTCTCTTACAATCTTTTCAGGAAAAATAGGTTTCTCAAGTCCAGTAGCTGTTATTGCCCTTTCCAGTATTGAGGAGCAGTTTCCTACCTAACCTTTTCTTTGAAGTGGTGTGGAATGTCAACATCTTGATTTTATCATTGTTTTCTCTTTGAGTTTTGTGTGCTATTCATTTTAGCTGTTGTGACTGTTGAAAGTCCTCAAGTGATGTGGTTTCTGTATTTTGGTACAGTTCTTATGTTTGCAATTCTTTAGTGCCAATCTACAATGTTCAAAGAAGTGTGGATTTTACCAAAATCCACTGGATTCACTTGATCAAAACCATTTTTAACAATTGATCTTAGAAAGCGGTTGTATACAGCTGAGAGTTTAGACTGTTGTTTCAATTAATTTGTACAAGGGTGTACATTCAGCCTAATATCCCTATCTTTGTTGTTGTTATCACAATATTTTGGCTCTTGTGTGCCCCGGTCTTCTTCACATGTAAACTTGAGGGAATTTCAAACTGAAACCTTTATTTAATTTTAGCGGGTATTTTTCACCTGTGTCATTACTGAATGTGGCACATGGTCAGTATAAAGTGGGTTTAACGACTATGCTTGCCACTTCCAGGGTAAGCTGCTCCTTTTCTGCTGTCCATGTGTATTGTTATCCTGTTCTTATTTAGTATAGCTTGCTTGTGTTTCCACTTAGTCTGAACAATTCAGTCTGGAGATTGAACTCAGAATCTCTAGGCTTACTGCCATATCATGTTGAGACATTGATTCCTCTACAATCACCAAAGTTAAGCCTGGTCAGTACCTAGATGGGTGACCATTTGGGAAAAAACAAAATGCTGTAATCTTGGATGTGCAGGTGGTGTAAGGGATAATGGCTTTCAATTGTTAATCAGACATCTGAGTTCCAATTCCTGTTTGGTGTGTTATATTCATATCTGCAAATACCCTTGGGAAATGTATGAATCCACTTCTTCTCTCTCCAGCAATGGGTTAATTAGTAAGACTTGTATCACTAAAGCATTATTATCTCTGCCCTTCCAATACCCAAAAAAATTTATACAAAAAAAAAATACTTTCTAGCTTTAAATAACCTCTAAGGGGTTGATAAGCCACAAAAAAATGAATGAATGAATCAATCAATCAATAAATTCTTAAAATCAAAATTCTAGCTTTAAATAACTGGCAAAGGGTTGATAAGCCATAAAAAATCAATCAATCAATTCTTAGAGTCTAGCTTTTGGAATGAATTTTTGGTCATCCCAATACATCTTTGGATCTCAGTGTCACACTTACTCCCCTCTATTATAAGATTTCCCAGATTTATATCACTAAGCTATTACTATCTCCAAAAAAATACAAATTCTTAAAATCTAGAAATATTTTTTGGCTTTAAATAACCTGCAAAAAGGCTGATAAACTGTAAAAATTAATCAGTCAATAAAAAGAAAAATGTTCAACAAGCTCTGATGAATGCCAGTCAGTGTATTCACTGACACGTGTATTCTTTGTGTTCACTTTCATATCAGATGCTATTTTTCAAGACTTTTACTCAGTAACATTGGTATGAATTCTCAGCAGATTATAAGGCCACAGCCTCAACACAGTGTTTTTGCTGAATTTCTCATAGTATTTTGGTTGCTATCATCACAGTATTTCATCCATCATATCCACTAACCTTTTTTTCAGAGAGCTACCATAGTTTGTAATCTTTTGAGGATTTCAAACCTAACCCTTTATTCAATTCACAGAGGTAAATTGTTCTCATTCTGCTCTTCAGGTTGGAAGCTATCTGATATCTTTTAATTCTGCCAATTCATCCTCATAGTCTTGTAGTGGGCCGTGGCTGTTATGTTGTTGATAGAAGTCAGACGTAGAAGAAACGCATGTAAGGTTCAGATTCTCCTGCCCGCCGGCCCAACTACATAAAAAGGTTGGACTTTGATTAAGTCCAAAGAAGAAGGCCAAGAAAGCAAACAAAACACAAGACCGATAATATATGTATATACAAATATATATTAATAACAAGTTACAATACATGGAAACAGTACAAAGGATGAAGTGTATGGGAATATTCTGTATGTGCGTGTGTGAATATTCTGTATGTGCATGTGTGTGTATTGTGCTTAGCGTGTTTCCATGCTATCCCTTGTTAGCACCTACATTTCGAGGTTGATAGCTGAAATCCTGAGGAAGAAGAGAGATTTACCTCAAGGTGTCGGCGCACAGGCCTGAAGGAAAAAAGAGAGAGAGGCGAAGGGTCAGCGGCTATTTATAGCCAGGGAAGAGAGACCCCTGGTGAAAGGGTTAATGTACTAAAGGAGGAGTTAACTCCGACAGTCTCTTCCACTGAACCCACAGATTCAACTCATCAGCCCAAGGTAATTTGATTTACCTTAGAGAATTTTTTTTATCAGCTTGGCCACCTGTAGTCTAATTTTTGAGGCTTAAATTAAGGTACATTTATCAGTGATGAAATGTATTCATTAGTGGAGGAATTGGTCGTCAGCCATAACACTCAAGGTAAAAGAACAGGATATTTGTAAAATACTGACCATATGTATGTTAACTGTGTAGACTTGTAGTGGAGTATTGAACCACAGCCCCACTACTTTGATGGATGCTGCTGTAGTTTTTGTAGCAAGTAGGTTTTTACAAGATGGAGTTACTATCCCTATTTCCAACTGGTTTTAAATTCAGAGTTGTCTATCTCCTAAACTGGTTACCAACCAAGGATAGAGAACACAGTTTTCTGTGCTATTAGCTCTTAACTAGGAGGAGAAAGAATATTTCTGTGAAGGTGAACACAATGACCTCTGTTAGAATTGTAACATTGTGTGCATAAAATAGAAAAGAAGAAATTAAAGATTATGAAGAAATGATTATGTAAAAAAAAAACAAAAAAAAAAATGCCCATGCAGGTTATTGGAAATATTTTTGAAATGCGATATCTTTGATAGAATATGTTGATCATTGCAAGTCCTGCAAAAAATAAAAAGGTGAAAAAGGATGTGGAGGTGCCTTTCCATTGGCTGATCAATTGATGAATCAGCAATCAATGAGTGAGTGGGATTCCTGGTGAAAAAAAGGAGTTTCTCTCTCCTAAAATCTTCAAGTAGAAGTTTCCCTTGGTAGCAAGCTCATGG